TTTTTATAATTTTATAATCAAGACATGATGCCCAAAGGAAAGAACTCCTCTGACACCAAAGGAGGAAGTTGTTGTACATTCTCTGGTAAGCAGCAGCCAGAGAAACATGGTGGAACGTTCTGGAGTTGGCAAGACCACAGTTAGCAACATCTACAAATATTGACATGAGCACGTGGAGAGATTGGTAAGGAAGCAGAGACCTGCAGTGGGAAAGAGGGAAAATGTTTCTCAGTGGAGTCAGTGAGACCCCATGAAGCTGGTTCAGACAAATGAGGACAGTTAATGCCGGAGTCTCGGCTCGGCGCCTGTGGCTCAAGCAGCTAAGGCACCAGCCACATACATACACCTAAGGTGGCGGGTTCGAATCCAGCCCGGGCCCACCAAACAACAATGATGGCTGCAACCAAAAAATAGCTGGGCATTGTGGCGGGTGCCTATGGTCCCAGCTACTTGGAAGGCTAAGGCAGGAGACTCGCTTGAGCCCAGGAGTTGGAGGTTGCTGCAAGCTGTGATGCCACAGCACTCTACCCAGGGGGACAGCTTGAGGCACTGTCTCAAAAAAAAAAAATGCCGGAGTCTCCAGGCTGGTGATCTAAGAAGGTGCTAGGAGAAAAAAATGTCACACAGGAATGTGGGGTGGCAGATTCCAGACATCAGTGGTTAGCTCCATAGATTTAAACTGTGACACGAACTGTGACATCTCCCAGAAAGTGTTGTGAAATTCCAGTAGAAACTGTGGAAGAGTTCGTCAGAAAGTTCCCAGACTTCACCAGCAGCTTCAGAGATGGCAACATCTTTAACAGTGCTGAGTGGGGACTGGTTTTCAAGGGGAAGCCTAACAGGAGCCCGGCCATGAAGGGTGACAAAAGAAAGAATGGTTCACCTTTCTGTTTGCACGACCTCAGCCCTTGGTGATTGGTAAATTGGCAAAGCCATGTCCATTCAAGAGCCTGAAGCCCAAAGACCTCCCCGTCCCTTGGAGATAAAACACATGCACATGGACGACTTGGGCCCTGTCTGAGAGGTGAGGAAGGGTGTGAACTGAGAAATGAAGAAGAAATGGTACCCGTCCTGGTCACAAATCATCTCACAAATGCCACACTGAAATTTATGGCTCCAAACATGACCCCTGAAATCCATCCCCTTAACCAAGGCATTGTCAGAACATTGAAAGGCTCTGTGAAGCCAGTTCCTGGAGCTGGCCATCCCTGAAACACCAACCTGTGGTCCTCCTGAGGGGGCAGCTTCATCCCTGCATCAGCTCACACTCTGGGTGCTGTCCTCTGGGTCAGTTCTGCTCAGAGTAAAGTTCAGTCAGAAACAACACAGAAGTGTTTTAAGAAAGTTGCCTTTGTCACAACCCAAGAGCATGACGTTTCGGCCCCATCAGACAGTCCACCTCTCCTGGCAGAACTCAAAGGAGTAGATTTTGAAGGTTTTGTTGCAGTGGGTGATGAGGTGGCAACCTGGAGTGAACCTGACCCAGAGGCAACTTTCTAAGTGAGAGCGACGGAAGTACAGACCAGCGTAAAAGTGCATGAAGCAGCTGCTGGAGTGGGAGAAGCAAGTGAGGAGCACACAGACGTTGCAGAGACTCCGAAAGAGGAGGATGTTGGGAATCTGATAATGCAGTTGACGCTACTTGCTGTGGAGAAGTGCCCAGGTGTGCCGAGTGGTGTGGCCAGCGTTGAGACGCTTTCTCCATGCACATTTGTAATAAGAATGAGACACAGACAGAGATGGCCTCTACTCTCAGAAAAAACGATTAAACCATAAGAAAAAAGTCAATGTCCTGATTTTGTGTGATTTGATTGTGTTTTGATTATTCACGATTTCAAATGATACTCTGTAATAAAAGCTGTACAGGAAAGTACAGTACCTGCATGTATCCATGCAGTAGGCCTCGTTCCCTATGTTGACCACCTCTGTGTGTTGACTGGTTTGTTTCAGTCCCTTGGAATTTATAGAGGTTTGACTGTATTTTAAAAAACATATATATTTATTTTTAATATTTGTAAAAACCTTACCAGGTATAGGGATGAAGACAGTGTTCAGTTTTGGAGCTGAGATTGAAAGGCGGCTGATGTGTCTCACTTCATCATCACATCATACGCTGCAGACCATCTCGGGGTGTTCCCCTCCGTGACTTGACTGTCTGTACTGTGAAGACCTTAGTGTAGTAGCGGACAGTAGCAGACACTTAGTGAATCATTTCTGTTTTGTTTGTCACTCCGGGGCGTGTTTCATCCCTTAACTCATTTTTGGTTTGGTGCCTTTGCTGCTCTTTTATTCTTTAGTTTCATGTGAAGAGGATGGTGGGCGCATTGGGGGAGAGGGAAAAACCATGGAGGAAATTCAATAACAGGGAAAAATAAACCAAGAAACACGGAAGAAGCGGAGATAGGAAGTAATACTTCCCTCTGGTTTTTGCTTTATTCCCAGGTCTGTTATTACATAACAGCCACAGAAAGGCTTTAGCAGAGACTTAAACCCTTAGAGACTGGGGGAGTGTCAAGGTCTCAGTGTGTGAGACTGGCCCCTCAGTGTAATCATGTTTTATATTTATTTTTCCTAAAATTGTTGAATGAATACATTTACATATTTTTCTCTTCTCAGATAGTCTTTAACTTTTCGGAAGTTTTAGCCCATACCATAAGGTTTTTCCTTCCCTGTAGATCTCCGCACTGTTCTTGGTGCATTTATTATATGTATGAATACATATACATACACACACACACATGCACATATACATATATACATGTATATGCACATGCATATGTACACGTGTGTGTATACGTATGTATACATGTGTATATGTGCATATATGTGTACAGATATATATATATATATATGTACATACATATATAAATTACCTAAACATTGGATATGGGATCTCTAAGCCCATTTGTCTTTCAAGACTTTCAGAGAAAAACACCTTCTCATAATTGCACATGGATATAATGCAGCCAAAAAAGCAACACGCTGGATTCAAATATAGACGGGTATGAAGCAGATAAATTCAAAAAGAGATTTATAATCATATTATATAGGAATATTGAAGGCTGTCACTTTGAGCACTTATTCTATATATAGCACTAAGCTAAGTGTTTTATATTCATTATGTCTTAAGTTCTCAGAACTAAGTTGTTAGGTAGATGATCAGCTGATAGTCAGAATGATTAGACAACGCCTTGTAAGCCACAAAGCCTGGTTGAAGCCCAGGTAATCTCAATTCTAAATGCTTGTACTATAGTAAGCACTATGCTGCAGGTCACCTCGTTCCGTCTCTTCATCGCTCAGGTTTTCACCACTTGAGAAATATCCCAGGTTAAGTTCACTAACCTTAAATACATTAGCTCACGTTTGTGAAAGACTTACTGCCGTTTTTCAGCATAAACATTCAATAAATGATGCACAGAGCCTAATGTCGCTGTTACTCCCGTTCACACTTGTGATACTGTCTTTCCCCTTATGGAAGCTTAATTTTAAAGGTTGGTCCAGCTATTTAGTACCTCTGGAAACTGTGGATCTGTGTGAGAGTGTGTGTGTGTATGTGCCTATATGCACACACATACCTGAGAGTATCTGGGATTTCATGAGGCAAAGGGGCTTTAGAGAACTGAGCTACTTTGCCACTCTTTCCAGTCCCCTCTGTCCAGTAGGACATCTGCACAGTGTATCTGCAGGCAAGTCTGTCTGAACTCGCAAGTGGGAATTAGATGATGGATGTCGGAGATAATCTACAGCCGGCCCTCCATGTCTGTGAGGAGATTCTGAGTCCTGATCTACCCTGTACGTCTTCCCAGCACAGGATTTCAGGTCCTCGTTTTCAAGATCTGTCATCCCATTTTTCTTTAGTTGGGGCTCCACAGGCTCATGGAAGGCAGCGTCAACACTCAAGTTCTTTTCCTCTGTGTATATTCTCTCTGTGCCTTTTGTTATGGAATTTAGGAAAACAGAACTTGGCTAGAGACAAACCAGTTTTATGAAAATAAGTGAAAGTGAAACCCTTTTATTGAAATGCTCATATTTTGGTATAATTTCAAACCTAAAGGAAAGTTACGTACGAGTAGTACAAGGAACTCTTACATACCCTTTAACCTATTTTAATGTTGGGTAATATGTTAAAAGTAGGCTTTTCTCTTTATTGTAGTATTTGATAATTATGTAATAAATCGCGTTCACTTATCACAGTGGCAGAACAAACTATCCATTTTGTTAACTGGTCCCCCTTTTTATTTTCATGCGTTCTAGAGGTTCCTTTTAATCAAGATTCCCTTTTAGGGCAATGTTACCCGTAGACATTTGTCTCGGTCCTTCCAGGCCCCAGGCTTGGCACCTTGCACTTCCTTACGATATTCTTACAGCTCAATATGAAATGGTTTCTCCATTTTAAAGTTTAAGTAGATCCCAATTTGGAGTTTGGGGATAAAGTGTTTTTCATTAAATGAAATCAGAAACTATTTTAATAAGGCTGGAAATAATACGGGAACATTCAGGCCAATCCCAAGTGTGTGGAATCTAATTAAGTAGGAAAAAAAATGAGCCTTACTTTTCTCTTGCAGCTGTAGAATTCCACGATTGTAGTGACAAAATGGGAGAGCTTTTATACATGGTGTAATTTTAAAATGATGCTTAATTAGCTGCATTAAACCGTGTAATTAAAGGTGTTTGTAAATTCAATGTGCTGTGTCTAATGTGCTGTTTCTTAGTTAAATCTTAGAAGCAGAAATTTAAATATTCAAGCTAAGATTTCACCAAATTAAGTACTTATTTTCATACTCTTCACATTATTGTTACAATGAAAGCAAATAATAAGGGAAAACAGCTTAATTGCAGAATAAAAAAACAGTGCACTGAAGTAGCATGTAAAGTATTTTTGTAGACGCAAACAAGACAAAAACAATCTATGTTCAACTAATGGGATAAAAGAGCCCCTTCCCCAATATTGTCGACATGATATTATACAGAATTTAATATATGTGCATTTTTGTTTTCAGATTCAAAACGCTAATGATGTATTAATTGTGCCACTTGAGAAATTTCGAAAAGAACAGATAGGTGCAGCAAAAGTAAGTGTTACATTTTATATTTAGATATCCTGATAAAGTTGACGTAACTTTATTATTAATGTTTTCAAAATTGGAATAACCTTTAAAAAATTCTCTATGTTATTTGAACCTTTTTGCACAGAGCCTGTTATAAAGCCTGGAGTCTTTCTTCTACTGAGACAAAGTCAGCATGTTATAATTGATTTCCTCTCATCTCAGCAATTATAGGAACTTGTTTTGAAGAGTGGGTGAAAGTACAGTAAGATTATTAGAGGTATTGTTCCTAACACATAAATAAAATAAAAATTAGGTGCAAGGCATATTGAAAATTCAGGCAGTAATTATATAAAAAATTTTATTATTTCTTTTTTAAAATTTATTTTATTAAATCATAGCTGTGTACAATAATGCATTTATGGGGTGCAATGTGCTGATTTTATATACAATTTGCAATAACAACAAACTGGTTAACATAGCCTTCACCACACCCTCGAAAGTGTAAAAACATGTGTTTGCTGAAAAACTTTAGAAATGTTTGTCATAAAGCCTTTGTATTAATTTTTAGTTCATAGGTGGCCCAATTAAAATTTTCTCAACCTGATCATCTGAACTTTGCCTGCATCTTCTTTCTTAAGTCCATCTTTTAAGCGCTGCTCAACATCTTGGAAGCTCAGAAAACTTAAATTTTCCAAAACAAAATGTAGCATCTCCAACCCCCCCCCCGTCCTTTCTCTGTTAGGGTTTTGACTTAGTCAATAACATACCCCCTTCTCAATTCAAGCAATGCTGTCCAGTCTGTTGCAGAAGTATTTCCACTCCTTTCCTCCTTACTTTTTGTCTGAAATAGTTGAAATAGCTCACTAGTTGATCTCTACAGCTGTATTTGATCTGTGAAGAAATTTTTACCTTTTTTTTTGAGACAGAGTCTCACTGTGTCCCCCTCAGTAGAGTGCTGTGGAGTCACAGCTAACAGCAACCTCAAACTCAAGTAGCTGGACTACAGGCACCCTCCACAACGCCTGGCTATTTTTTTTGTTGCAGTTTTCATTGTTGGACCCCCGCCAGGTTCCAACCTGCCAGACCTGGTGCATGTGGCCGTTGGTGCCCTAACCACTGTGCTACGGACACTGAGCCAATTTTTACCATTTTTGATTGTAGCATTCTGCCTTGACAGTTTAATCCTGAGAATGAGAGCTTCCCACAACCTGGCCCCTTGCTGCATTTCCGAATTCCCCACCACCAGGCACGGTTCACCCACCTCTGTTTACACTTGACTTTGTCTACGGTTGCCCGGATTTTTCCCTCTCCTTGGAGTATTTTTATCCTTCACTTTTTGAGGTTCTACCAACTTTCCATAGTTTACTTCATATACAGCATAAGAAAGAAACCTTCCCTCCTGGATTCATTCTCTTTCAGACCTGATTTTTTTCTTATAAGATCAAGACGTCCAGGTACGTATTTCCTATAATAAGTTATCATAGTCTGCCTCGAGTTAGAGTTTTATGCGGATTCATCCTCTGATGGTGAGCAGTTGCCAAGTGAAGGACTAAATCAGAACCATTTTTGCATTAGTTAATTCAGCAAATATTTATCAAGTTTCATGGTTGGCCCACACATGGCCAGCATGGTGTTTGATAGGATTAAGAGCCACAGCTGTGACCAAGACAGACACGATCACTGTCCTTGTGTCCTGATTATCTTTTGCGGAAAAAAGACACCCAAGTAATTACAAAGACATTGGGAATTGTGATACAGAAGTAGAATACACTTTGGAAAGGTGCAGTTAATAGACTTTGTTCAGAGGGTCAGGAAAGGCATCTTCAGGATGAATTGATTATATAGAGAGACCTAAAGGATGAGAAAGAAATAGCTGAGAATGGGGATGGAAAGGAAGAACTTTTCAAATATTCAAGAAGAGGGAACAGAATTGCTATAAATAAAGGCCTTGAAAGGGATGGAAAGACAGTGACATTTTAATAAGAGAAGGTCCACTATGTTTGGAGTACAGAGAGCCCTGGGGCAGAGGCCACGTGTACAGCTTATAAATAGGTCACAATGTTTTATTCCTTCTCCTAAGGGCACTGAGAGGCAATAGAAAAGTTGTCAGCCAAAGAGTGCTATCATGTTTGTAGTTTTAAATGTCACTCTAGCTGTGTGTCTTGCCCAGATCGGAGGAAGCATGACTGCCTGTGGCAACATAGTTGAAGCTTTTGGTTAGCAGCTTTAGGGTGGAAAGGTGACGGTGGCTGTGAAGACAAGAAGATGGATGAGAGCTGTGACCTACTAGAGGCAATAGGAGATGGGGGGCAGAGCAGAAGGTGAGGAGGACCAGGAGGTTTGAGATCACACAGTTGGGCGGTTGTTGGGCCACTCACTGAGACAGGCACTACTTGTCTTTAGCAGTGATGGTAAGTTGAGTTTTTGGTCATAATGAATGAATTTGAAGTTCCTCTGAGACACCTAAGTGGAGATGTTGAATTGACAGGTGTATATTCAGATCTGAATTAGAAATACACCTTTAGGAACTGTGTCCTCTAAGTGTTAATTAAAATCCCAAGAGTAGATTAGATCCCTCTGAGAGAAGTCAAGAGGATTTGGAACCTTTACAGCCTGTGAACTCTCAAAATTTGATATTTGGGGAAAGAAAGACAGAAAAGGAGGCTGAGAAGGAAGAGATAAAAGGAAGAAATGACAAGAACACAGTGTCTAGCACAAGGAAAGAATGTCTCTTAAAGAGTAGTAATAGCTTGGCCGGCACAGTGGCTCACGCCTGTAATCCTCACACTCTGCGAGGCCAAGGCGGGTAAATCCCTTGAGTTCAGGAGTTCGAGACCAGCCTGAGCAAGAGCAATTAGAATAACCTTTAAAAAATTCTCTACATCATTTGAACCTTTTTGCACAGAGCCTATTACAAGACTAGAATTCTTTTAAATATTAAAGATATTATTTCTTAGTTAAAAACAGAAAAACTAGCTGGGTGTTGTGGAGGGTGTCTGTAGTCCCAGCTACTCAGGAGACTGAAGCAAAAGGATGGCTTGAGCCCAAGAGTTGGAGGTTGCTGTGAGCTACGATGCCCATCATACTGAGGGTGACAAACTGAGACTTTGCCTACAGAAAAAAAAAAAAAAGAATAGTACTAGCTGATCTTCATTGTGAGCCACGTGGCAGGGACATTCAGGGAGCATCTGTGATCTAATTAAATGGTCACAAACAACCTGCAAGGTAAGCGCTGGTGTTGCATGTGCCTAAAAAGTGAAGACAACGATGAGGTGTCTGCACAGAGCTATGAAGTTGAAGTGTGAACCTGAAATCAAGCCACAGTATTTCCCTTCATTAATGATGTTTTTTGTAACTCTGAATGAATGCTTTCTGGAAAGTTCTTTCCCAAGTATTGGGGCATTCCACATTTTCTGTCCCATCTAAAGGACTAAGTTTAATTCATGTGTGGATTATTCTTATCTGAAGGATTAGTTATAGTTGTGGTGGTGGACATAATAATACCCATCGTACTTTGCTCTGTAAACGTCTCAGCTTCTGGAGCGATCAGCCGAGAACACCCACTGGTGCACTGGGCCTTTGCCCACCCTTGGGCGGTTAAACTTGTGATTAAATGAAGCCAAAGTCTTGAACGTAAACATTATTGCACTTGGTTTTTTGGTAGTGGTGATTCTGTGTATTTTATCTGCTAATGCTCTTTCTAGTAAACTGTAAGCTGATTACTTAATCCTTGCTTAGGAAATTGCATAGTGAATTGAAAACAGGCATCTTCTTCTGAAATACATGTATTGATGTATAGGTCAATTTTCTCGTCTTTTGGTATTGTAGAATAAATGTACGTGAAGGTATTTATTTTTTCTGTTGCTTTACTCCCTGTGTACTTAAGTATTTTCTTAATTGGCACGTAAAGATAATTCTGCACGTGATACTGCCACGCTTCACAATCTTAGAGTGGAGAGTTCCCACAGCTTGCTTACACTGATTAGCCAGCTGGAAGGCAGGGGCATTAATTAAGTGTAGAATCTTCCACCGTGTCAGTGACCTCTTCAGCTTGGTCTAGAAAAGCAGAGTGGAAAACGCTGAGTGAAAGCGGCCCTTGCCTCACACCCAGATACTATGTAACTGAAGTGGATCAAATCTGTGGACCACAGACATTTCCTTTGTAGTGTGTTCTATGAGACTTTGAGACACCTGACACTTAGCTGTGGCCAGTGGGGCCCTTAGTGAGTTGCAGTTGTGGGAAGAAGCATCTGTGTCTCTGAGAGGCATTAAGAGAGATTAATGATGAGGTTGTTGAACTGAAGGACGGAAGGACTGGAGTCCTGCTTTTTTTTGATAGCTGCAGATTAGAGGGATTATCTGTGAACAGTTGTCAGGAATGTATTTATTTAAAGGTTCTTAGTCTGATGGTGTATACAGAATGGAATTGTACTAAAGGCCAGGCATATCACATGTGTCACAGGGTGAATTGAATGTTTGGTGCCTGTAGTTCACCATCAGGGCTGGTTTAAATTCTAGAAAATGAGCAGAAAGTAGGTATTTGGAACAAGTGACGTCAGCTAGACTTTCTCCTCTGTGACTACATCTACATTAGTATTATTACATAGCAAGATCAATCATGACCTTTTCTGGGACGCTTTCTTGTTTCTCTGACTGCATTGGAAATCTTGTTCTCAGGGAGAATTAATTCTAAGTCATGTCTGCACTTCCCATACCAGTTGCTACGTAGACTGGCAGCCTCTAACACAGGGTTTTTCAACGTTTTTTATACTGCAGGACACAGTTGAACCTGTACTTAAACTTCAGCAGTACACTAAAATTAAATTATGTTGATTTAAAAAAAGAGTAAAAAAAGAATATACTTACTGTGCTTTGAACGTCATCTGAGAATAATTTAATTTATGATCTTTAAACATTTTCCTGATACACCTAAGCGCCTCTCACGGCACACTGGTTGAGAATCACTGCTCTAAATACAGGTAGAGAGTTGCAATTGAGTTCCTGATCAGCATTACATTATGGAA